GGAGATGATCCTTGCTCCAAGGCCACAAGTGCTTATGCAATCACGACCTTGTCATGTTGTTGTTGGGCTTTGAGCTTGCAGATCAACCAAAGTAAGAACACTAAACCGCAAACTAAAGCAGTGCCAAACAGGCCTACTCCCACCCACTCTTTAAAGAATGAAAAGGCTGAAGAAACCCAGGAGGAGAGTCCTTCAGTCAACGACAGGTCCAAGCGCGTTGCATTAATGGCCATCATCGCAGATCGTAGGCGCTCCAAAGTCTCATCGAAATTTTCTGACCAGTTTCCTTGAAGATACAAAGACAATTGTCTAGACAAGTTGGCTGCCTTAGTAAGATTTTCATATTGAATGCTAGTTATACATAGTGCTTCAAATTTTTTCTCACACCCCAATTGGGCCAGCTGGAAGAGGATCCGATCCTAACCGCTCCTCAACCAGATCTATGCGCTGGTTAACAACCATGAGTCCGCCCTTCAATTGGGCTGAGGTAAAGCCATGTGTATTGAAAGCTTCAGCAACAGTGGTTGAAAGCTTATTAAATGTAGAATCTACTTGCACTGTTTGAGACATGGCTATGGCAGCAGTGGTCGCAGCCACTGCACTCAAGGATATTGCTGTGACTATGGCAGCAGTAATGCCAAAGTCTCTTTTCTGTCTGAATAAGGACATGGTGGAGGTAGTTTCCACTGGCACAGGAATCCATTGAGGTACTTTAGCTATCAATGCACAGGTAAACCGTCGTGAATTCCAACATTGTGATATTGAACAAGTTTCGTTAGTACAATTTTGAAAAGGTCCGTTAGTCAAAATGAACATAAAGGGAGGATAAACACAAACAGGGGTGGGCGAGTAGTTAGTATGATTAATTATAGTTTTAAGAAGTTGAACAACCCTCGTTGTGGAATTTATAACTACGTAATGGCTGTGAGTGAGATTTTCCTCTTGTGTAAAGTTAGATTCCAGAACAAACCGTGACTTCCCTCTGGACCCACCTTGGAGAAGACTCATGGGGTTAAGATCCGTGCAACTCCCATTAACCCCGCAAAGCAGCCATATGTCAAAGGGATTCCTCCTTAAACTTTGTGAGAAGAGCCCCTGTGCCATAATATAGTCCTTTCTTGGGTCAGCCATCACATCAGGAGAAAAGGTAAAGGTTTGGGCCTGGTCCGCCCAGTGAATTACTGGGGATTGACAAGCCGTCCAAGGTGGGTCCTAATCCTCACTATTCCCAACACAAAAAGGGGCTATTTTGGGCTGACGGGGGCAAGTTGTGTCATGGGAATTGGATTTATTAACACTGGGTGGCAAAAATGTGCCATTAATCCAGGTAACCTCGTACCAAGAGCGGGGATTATAATAAGTGTAATTTTTTTTTTTATCGGATTGCCATGATGTCTTAAGTGTTGCAATCTGTCCCCGTCGATTAAGAGAAAACAGCCCTAAGGCTCGGTGTGTGAGGTTAATACATTTACCCACACCCTTATCCTCCAATTGAAAACATAAAGAGCCTTGTTCCTGAAAGGGACAATTTTCACCCAACGGGGCCACGATTGTATCGTATGGGAGATAGGGCAAGTCCAATGTCTTATTAGTTGTAAAGAATTTTGGAAACACTTTTGCGTTGTGCCTAACAGGCATGGGTTTTGGAAAAGCAGAAAGAATTGCCCATCGTTGTTCCCCTGTAATACTAGGAACCCAGATCGGGAGGATCCAAACCAACACTAGGAGCTTCCGTAGACTTGTCTCCTTGGGTGTCATCTTCAGGTACCACAAGCCTCCGTGTCAGGCGCTCCAGTAACCAAAAGGGATTATCTTCCTCCTGTGGAAAGACACAGATAGCTCCCCTGGATCTTATTAAAATAGGATCTGGGCCTTTCCATTGACCAGTCAGGACATCTTTCCATTTAACCATTTCTTTTGGTCTATCTGGCTCTGAGCAGTGGCGATCTGCCGCGGACCAGCCCTGATTGTCCAAATTTAAAAAATTTAAGGTAAAGAGTGCTATGGAAATAGTCACTCGTGGTACTGAGGGCAGAGCCTCCTCGACTCCCCCTTTTTGTTTTATTAAATAAGATTTGAGTGTGCGATGAGCTCGCTCTACAATTCCTTGTCCCTGAGGGTTATAGGGGAGGCCAGTCAGGTGGGTTACTCCCATCTGGCGACAGAATTGTCCAAATTTTTGAGAGGTATATGCTGGTCCATTATCAGTCTTAAGGATTTTAGGCTTTCCCCAGGCACTCCATGCCTCGAGGCAATGCTGAATAACATGGGTAGCCTTTTCTCCTGCTAGTGGAGAGGCAAACATAACTCCAGAACAGGTATCAATAGAGACATGTAAGTATTGTAATTTGCCAAATGATGGGATGTGAGTAACATCCATTTGCCAAATTTGTAATGGACGGATTCCCCTAGGATTAATTCCAACATAAGGCATAGGTAAGAATTGACAACAATTTTGACATTGGGTTACTATATTTCTAGCTTCTTTTCTAGTTATGTCAAATCGACGACGCAGCATCTCAGCTGTGACATGAAACCTTTTATGAAACTCCTTAGCCATTTCCAATTTTGATAAGAGGGTGAACCCAATTAATTTTGTGGCTCGATCTGCCAAATCATTCCCATGAGACATAGGCCCCGGCAGGCCCGAGTGGGCTCTAATATGTGTAATAAAAACAGGGGATCTTCTATTAATCAAGGCAGAATGAATCTTTTGAAAAATTTTTGCAAGTTTACTAGATGCCTTAATTAACCCAGCAGCTTCCAGAATCTTTGTGGCATTAACCACATAACAGGAATCCGAAACAATGTTTAAAGGACCCAAAAATTTCTCCAAAACTTCTAATACCACTAGACATTCTACAATTTGGGGTGAGGTTTCATGATATTGTTTAGAAACAACCTTGTTATTAGCCACATAGGCTCCCACACCTGTCTTTGACCCGTCAGTATACACTACTAACCCATCCCGAAGAGGTTCTGCGGAGGTGATGCGTGGGAACACAACTTCTTGCGTCAAAGCAAATTGTAAAATGGGATGTTTAGGATAATGATTATCTATCAAACCACTAAAAGAGGTGACTAGCACTGCCCAAACGTCTGAGGTAGCAGATAAAGTTTGGACTTGGTGGGCAGTATAAGGCACTATCAGAGCCCTAGGTTCTCTTCCAAAGTGAGTGGTGGCTGCTTTTAAACCATGAAGGGCAAGTTGAGCAATTGCATCTGGATACCATTCAATAATTTTTGCAGAGGAGACATTGGGATGTACCCACAGTAAAGGCCCGTCTTGCCATAGCACCGCTGTTGGCAGATTTTTGGTCTTAAAGACACATAACTCAAAAGCCCTAGTTTCATCTATACGTTTTAACTGAGCATCCTGTAAGGCCTCCTCCACCATGTTTAATACCCGATCTGCTTCGGGAGTCAGTGTCCGAGGTGAAGTAATATGAGCCTCTCCCTCCAAAATGTCAAATAGGGGCTTCAATTCAGCTGATGGAATTTTCAAAAAAGGTCTAAGCCAATTTACATCACCCAGTAATCTTTGGAAATCATTTAGCGTGTGTAAATGATCCCTACGGATCTCTATCTTTTGAGGAACTACATATTCTGGATAAATAACAGTCCCTAGAAAGGAACCTACTTCTGAAATTTGGACCTTTTCAGTAGCAATATGTAAGCCCCATTGTTCTAGAGTTTTTCATAGCAGAGGATATGCAGTCTGTAAGACAGCTAACTCTTTATGGCACAAAAGAATGTCATCCATATAATGGATCAACAGTAAAGAAGAAAATTGTTTTCTAACTGGTTCAAGGGCCATTTGAACATACAGCTGACACGTGGTGGGGCTATTGGCCATGCCTTGAGGTAACACTCTCCATTGATATCTTTTGTCTGGCTCATGGTGATTAACAGCAGGTAGAGTAAAGGCAAATCTCTGTCTGTCTTGTGGGCACAGAGGAATGGAGAAGAAGCAATCCTTGATATCTATAATTATGACTCTCCATTGTTTAGGCAGAGCGGAAAGTAAAGGTAGGCCTCGCTGAACAGAGCCAAGAAGCCGCATCTGTGCATTAATGGCCCTTAAATCATGAAGAAGTCTCCATTTTCCAGACTTCTTTTTAATAACAAAAATAGGTGTATTCCAGGGAGAAGTAGATGGTTCCAAATGACCAAGCTGTACCTGTTCTTTAACCAGCCTTGTAGCGGCTTCCAGCTTTTCAGAGGAAAGGGGCCATTGAGGAACCCATACGGCCTCCTCTGTGAGCCAAGATATGGGCATGGAACCCTCAATGGCAGCTAATGAAAACCCAGGCCTGTTTCCCTGTATTACTTTCCTGTGAAATCGGGTGTAATCTCCCTTGTTCCTGTTTACCAAGGCTTTTTCCTTCCTTATAACCCATCCTTTTCATTATATCAACAGCTTGTTGAGAGTACTCATTGGTCAATGCCAATCCCAAGTCTTGTAAGATGTCTCTTCCCCAGAGATTAACGGGGAGAGGAAGTACATAAGGTATGAAACTTACTGTCTGACCCTCTGGCACTTGCCAGGTTAACAGGCATGAGCTGACTGCAGGGCTGGCTTCATATCCTAACCCTTGTAAGGAATGAGATGATTGTGTAACAGGCCATGCCCTAGGCCACCAATTTGAGGAGATAATGCTCCGGTCAGCCCCAGTATCTAAAATGCCAGTGAAAAGTTTCCCCTCTATCTGTAATTGTAAGGTGGGCCTAGTTTTTAAATCAACCACCAAGTGAGCAAAGTCAGTTCTTGAAGAACCGAACCCTTTGTTGCCCCTTGTCATTCCTGTGGATGGGAAAACATCCTGCAAGCTTGGAAGGAGAACTAACTGGGCAATCCTATCTCCAGGGGAAATGGAAAATACTCCTTTCGGACAAGAACAAAGAACTTGAAGCCCTTCAGTATAATCTTGATCTATTATTCCAGGATGGATAATAAGCCTCTTTAGGGTGAGAGAGGAGCGTCCGAGTATCAGGCCAACACTTCCCTCGGGCAGAGGGCCCTCAAACTCAACTGGAACGGGCTGAACACCCAATTGGGGCATCAATAAGAACTGGGAGGTGGAACAGAGGTCCAATCCTGCTGATCCTCCTGTTGCTCTACAGCTGGATAGACCCTCCTGCTGACTGTTTGTGTCCCATATTTTTTGGGGCCCTGGAATCTGGGGCCCTGAAATCCGTTTTTTGGAATATTCTCATTCCTCTCATTAGGGGGGGCTTCATGCTGAATAAGTTTTCCCTGAATATCCCTAACTGAGCGACATTCATTGGCCCAATGATTACCCTTCCTACATTTGGGGCACAGTCCTGGAAGTTTCTTTTGTGCAGTAGCACGGCAATCTCGCTTCAAATGGCCTGGTTTACCACAGCTATAGCAGGTTTTATTGCTTCCTGGACCTGAACGGCTCTTGCTCTGCAGGATAGCCGCTGCAAGGCCAGCATTGGTAAGTGGGCCTCCAAGTCCTCGGCAGATCTTTATCCAATCTGTAAGCCCTTTGTTCCTTCTAGGAGTAATGATTGTCTTACATTCTGGGGAAGCATTTTCATATACCAACTGTTCTATCATTGGCCTGACTCGCTCCGGATCTCCAAATATTCTACCTGCTGCTTCTGTCATTCTGGCCACAAATTCTGAGAATGGCTCCTGAGGGCCTTGTATAATCTTTGTCAGGTGTCCTCCAGCCTCGCCTTTCTTTGAGAGGGCTTTCCATGCTTTAATAGCAGCCGCAGAAATCTGGCCATATGCCCCAGGGTCATAATTAGTTTGATTGTGTACAAAATGGCCTTGCCCTATCAGAAGATTGAAGGTCCACTGTCGTTGGGCACCTTCCACACGGGAGTTGACTCCTGCTTGGATCTGAGAGGCGTCATGCCATAGGGCTTTCCATTCTAAGTATTGGCCCATATTAGGAAGAGCGGCCTTTACAGTATTTTGCCAGTCGCTCGGAGTCATAGCCACGCCGGCAAGCCTCTCAAGCTGCATAATTGTGAAGTTAGCATCCACTCCATATTTATTAACTGATTCAGCAAGCTCTTTAACAAGGGGGTATTCTACTGGTGCATATGTGCGACCCCCGTCTGCAGCCTCAAAAACAGGAAAAGCCTGAAAAAGTTTTCTTTTGTCCTCTTTTGAAAAAAAAGAGTCCGATATCCCTACCAGGGGAGCCGAGCCATGTCTTTCCACATAGGGTGGAGGGGCGCTAGGGGCTGATGGAAAGCCCCATGAACTTTATTTATTGACCGTCCTTTATGTACCCTACCTGGTGGCGGCGACTGTTTATCAGGGTGGTATCTCTCTTCCTCATAACGAGCCGCCTCCTCCTCTAAGTCCTCCTCCTCAGAGGGACTCAGCTCCTCAGATTCAGAATTATCAAGCCCCAAAGCCTCCAATTCTTTTATTGGAGAGAGGGGCCTCTTTTTTGGGTTTTTCCTTCCCCTTTCACCTTTCTCTCCCAGGGCGTCCTTTCCCTTGTCTATCCTGTCTGTGGACTTACCGTCCACAGACGGGCCTTTTTTCTTAAAGACGTCTTTCTCTTTTTCTTTAAGGGCCCTTAACCTTCTATCCCGTTCTGTTTCTGACATGCTGTCTTGTATTTCCTCTAAAAAACCCCTTGGTCAGCTGCCACAGAGGTGCAGCACTTCCTATCTTCTAAGCAAGATTTTACTAAAATCCACAATGACCTAGTTCCAACTTTTAGCTTCCCATCTTTTTCCTCCCTCCGTAAATCACCTTCTAACTTATCCCAGGAAGCAAGCGTCAGCGACCCTGAACATACAAACCAGGGAGCAATGCGATCGATTTCTGTAATAAATCCTTCCAACGTTCTTTTTGAAAGCTTTAGTTCATGCTGTTTTAAAAGTGACTGAAGTGCCGTGATCACCGAGTGTGAAGCTCCCATGCTGCTCCCTTATCTATGAGAGAAACTGACACAGGGAGGAGGTACCGTGGCTTATTTACGTCCGTCTAACAATACCCAACGGCACATCAAAGGTGGGACACCGCGGGATACCGCGGCTTATCTGCGTCCGTCTGACCGTGCCCCAACGGCGGCGAGCCTTTTAGCAAGAATATTTGTGGAAGCAAAATAAAACCAAAAGAAGGAGAACGAGCGCTACTATTACAATAGGGAAAGCTACAAGAGCTCCTGCCAATTTGGGTGAAAGATGAGACAATTCAAGACCAGGCATGTCTTACAGAACTTACCTTAGCGCTGCAGTTCTGAATCCTCCCCACGAGCGGGGGGTCTCCTCAAAGCCGGCGGTGAAAAGCTTCCCCAGCTTTCCCGGGTTTCGGCACCAGTTGTTGCAACCCACATGGTCGTCTCGCCAGCAAGAACACACACGGACAATAGGATCCTTCTGCAGCAAGCTTTATTGCAGTCAATTGATGAGAGGAGGAAGACCCCAACCCCCAGAATGGTGCTGCTTAAATACCCCCTGCGGCGGCGTGTACTCCGCTGGTTGGCTGCTTGCCCATTGCCCCGTGTGACGCCCCGAGCTGGGCAGAAACGCCCCGGGCTGGGCAGTGACTTGGCGCGCTTTTGCAACTGGCACATGCGCTCTATTACTTGTTCACTAGGGCTGAGGCCGGATGTCGGTGCCATATCTTAATGGCGATTGCATTCTCTTGGCTCTCCACACCATCCTAGACAGGGACACACAGCTTCTGGTCCAGGCACCCAGCCTCCAGACCAGAACAGTGCCCCCAGGCACCAACTCAACCTAGGTGCACATTCTCCAGGCCCAGAGCGGAGCAATCAGCCTCTGGCCCAGAGACTTGCTGAGTGCACCTCTCACTTTCCTGGACAGAACTGTGCGCCCCAGAATAACAGACTGAGTTTTCCTGTTGGGAGAAAACCCCACAGCTAGGGAATCAGCAGCTTCTTCAAGAGGACTGTACATGGAAATTTAGTGAGCAGCAGCACACTAAATTTATAACAAGAAACCCAGCAGTGGGGCAGCTGTCTTGAGAACTTCTATATGAGTAAGAGGAGATCCCCCCCTGCCTAACATAGACCACAACCCCTACTCAGGGCTATAAACCTGAGGTGAGCAGTGGCAACTCCTGAGAAACACTGGCCATACAGTGACCATAACCAAAATGCAGAGAAGGACTCCTTCAGGAAAAATCATCTTCCGGCCAAGGGGATACTCCCTACCTCAGGACTCCAGGAAGCACAGAAACTAACAGCCAACACCTAAATCAGCCCAATGGGTAGAGGTCAGCGTAAAGGCTCAACCAACAAAAGACAGAGCAATATGGCATCTCCAGAACCCAGCCATCCAGGGGCGAACAGCTCTGGACAACGCAGCATAATAGAAAATCAAGAAAGATGACCTTACATCTATGCTGATGAAGAGGATAATAGAGGAAACAAATAAAATACATAAAGAATTAGAGGAAGATAAAACCAAACAGATCATGGCTATCCTTAAAGAAATGGAGGAAGATAAAGACAAGCAGATTATGGCCATCCATGAAGAAATACGGGAAGATGCAGACAAACAGCTTGTGGCCTTCAGAGAAGAAATAATTAAATCACTGAAAGAAATAAAAGAGACAGAGTTGAAGGAACTAAAAGAAAAAGAGGAAAATACAAGCAGACAGGTGAAGGAAGTAAACAAAACAACTCAAGACCTGAAGATAGAATTAGAAAAATTAAAGAAAACACAAATGGAGGAAATAATGGAGAGGAAGAATTTAGGGAAGAAAACAGGAACTACAGAGGTAAGCATAACCAACAGAATACAAGAAATGGAAGAAAAAATTTCAGGTGTAGAAGATACAATGGAAGAAATCAATGTATCTGTCAAAGAAAATGTTATATCCAAAAAATTCCTGACACAGACCATCCAAGAAATCCAAGACAATATGAAAAAACAAAACCTAAGAATAATAGGAATAGAGGAAAAAGAAGACTCCCTTCTTCAAGGCCCAGAAAATATTTTCAACAAAATCATTGAAGAAAATTTCCCCAAGTTAAAGGAGAAGCCAATAAGGATACATGAGGCCTACAGAACACCCAACAAATTTGACCAGAAAAGAAAATCCTCCCGTCACATAATAATCAAAACAGTAAGTATACAAAACAAAGAAAAAATACTAAAAGCTGCAAGGGAAAAAGGCCAAGTAACATATAACAGCAAACCCATTAGAATCACACCTGACTTTTCAACAGAAAGTATAAAAGCCAGAAGGGCCTGGACAGATATCATGCAGACCCTAAGAAAACACAGATGTCAGCCCAGGCTACCATACCCTGCAAAACTCTCAGTCCTCATAGACAGAGAAAACAAGATATTCAATGACAAAAACAAATTTCAACAATACCTACGCACAAATCCAGCATTAGAGAAGACAATGGAAGGGAAAATACAACCCAAGAAAATTAGCTTCTGTCAAGAAAACACAGGAAATAATTAACCTTACTACAGCAAAACAAAAAGCAACCAAGCACACAACTGTATGAAGACAGCCAACATCAAAATCAAAGGATCTAACAGCCACTGGTCATTAATCTCTCTCAACATCAATGGACTCAACTCTCCAATAAAAAGACACAGATTAACAGAATGGATACATAAACAAAACACAGCAATCTGTTGCATACAAGAAACACACCTAAGGCACAAAGATAGACATTACCTGAGGGTAAAAGGTTGGAAGACGACTTTCCAAGCAAATGGACCGAAGAAACAAACAGGAGTAGCCATTCTAATATCTGATAAAATAGACTTTCAACCAAAATTAATAAAAAGAGGTGGGGAAGGACTCTTCATACTCATCAAGGGAAAATTCCACCAGGAAGACATCACAATCCTGAACATCTATGCCCCAAATACAAGAGCACCCACATTTGTAAAAGAAACATTGATAAAATTTAAACCACATATAGATCCCCACACATTAATAGTGGGAGACTTCAAAACCCTACTCTCAACAAAGGACTGGTCAACAAAACAAATTAAACAAAGAAACAATATCTCTGACAGAGGTCATGAATCAAATGGACCTCACAGACATTTACAGAACTTTACACCCAAACACAAAAGAATTTACCTTCTTCTCAGCACCTCATGGAACCTTCTCCAAAATAGACCATATAGTTGGTCACAAAGCAAGCCTCAACAGATACAAGAAGACTGAAATAATCCCTTGTATCCTGTCTGATCACCACGGAATAAAGCTGGACCTGAACAACAACAGAAATAGCAAAATCCTACACACACATGGAAACTAAACAACTTGTTACTAAATGACAGCTGGGTCAGGGAAGAAATAAAGAAAGAAATTAAAGTCTTCCTAGAACTCAATGAAAATGAAGACACAACATACCCAAACTTGTGGGACACAATGAAAGCAGTGCTAAGAGGAAAGTTCATAGCACTAAGTGCCTTCAAGAAGAAATTTGAGAGAGCTCATTCAAGCAAATTAATGGCCCACTTAAAAACCCTAGAAAAAGAAGAAGCAGACACACCAAAAAGGAGTAAACGGCTGGAAATAATCAAACTCAGGGCTGAAATCAATCAATTAGAAACAAATAAAACAATTCAAAGAATCAATGAAACCAGAGCTGGTTCTTTGAGAAAATCAACAAGAGCGACAAAACCTTAGCCAAGCTAAATAAAAGGCAGAGAGACTCCATCGAAATCAACAAAATCAGAAATGAAAAGGGGGACATAACTACAGACACTGAGGAAATCCAAACAATCATTAGGACTTACTTCAAAAGTCTATATGCCACAAAATTTGAAAATCTAAATGAAATAGACAATTTTCTTAATCGATTTGACTTACCAAAGCTGAATCAGGACCAGGTGAATCAATTAAATTATCCTATTTCCCCCAAAGAAATAGAAGCAGTCATCAAAAGTCTCCCATCCAAAAAAAGCCCAGGACCAGATGGCTTCAGTGCAAAATTCTACCAGAATTTCAAAAAAGAGCTAACTACAATTCTCTTCAAACTATTCTACAAAATAGAAACAGAGGAACATTACCAAACTCATTCTATGAAGCCACAGTCACCTTGGTACCTAAACCTCACAAAGACTCAACAAAGAAAGAGAATTTCAGGCCAATCTCCCTTATGAACATTGATGCAAAAATACTTAACAAAATACTTGCAAACCGAATCCAAGAACACATCACAGATATTATCCACTATGACCAAGTAGGTTTCATCCCAGGTATGCAGGGGTGGTTCAATATACTGAAATCCATCAATGTGATCCACCATATTAACAAACTGAAAGAAAAAACCACATGGTAATCTCCCTAGATGCTGAAAAAGCATTTGACAAAATCCAACATCCATTCATGTTTAAAGTACTGGAGAGATCAGGGATACAAGGCACATATCTAAACATAGTAAAGGCGATATACAGCAAGCCTATAGCCAACATCAAACTGAACGGAGAGAAACTTAAATCAATCCCACTGAAATCAGGGACAAGACAAGGCTGCCCACTGTCTCCATATCTCTTCAACATAGTGCTGGAAGTCCTTGCTAGAGTAATAAGACAGTTGAAGGAGATCAAGGGGATACAGATTGGAAAAGAAGAAGTCAAATTATCACTATTTG